ACAGGCATATTTTGCTAGCATTTGAGAATATATATAGATTAAGAACCATACACTCTGCGGCTCAGTGTTCATATAGAAACCTTAGTATTGTGGCAGATGTTAATTCAGCACGTTCCTCAGCAAGCTCACACCATTTTCCTGGTAATTTTTGAACGTTTTTATCCCAGGCAACATTTTCTTGTCAGATATCCTGCATTAGTAGTTTGGCTCTAATAGTGACAGGACTCAAAATTCCTAGTGGGTCACAAAGTCTTGGATGATTGGCTGAGAACTCTCTTTTTCTTGCAAATTTCCTATTGATGTCTAAGTCAAGTCTTGTAAAGGAAATGCAGTTTTTAGATCCAATCTCAATCGTAGAATTTTTACAATGTTGTGACTGTCAAGTACTCCTTTTTCAGCTGCTGTAAGGCGCAATATTATGTTGTTCAACTTTAACTGGATGGTGAGAAATGTAATGTATTTGCTGTTTGGGTGTGTCCTCTTGCTCTATTTTCTCAGTAATTCCACAAATTTCCTGTTCCTTAATAATACAATCGTACGTCTTTAATTATATCTGAATTTTGAGATAAAGAGAGAATTACCTTCTTTGTGCGTTCCAATGCAATTGTTTCATTTGAAGGTATATCGCAGACTTATTCTTTCCATGGTAACTTTGCTGTGAATTGACCATTCTCAAAGATTATACAAATTTCTGATCCTCAATTAGCAACTGATTGTGTTTTGCACTTGAGCGTGTTGGTCCTGATAGTACATAACCTATTTAAGAGCTTTCAGCAGTTGGTCCAGGTCCCGGTATGATGTTATTTCCAACAATGTCTCAATAGTGATCAACGCCGAATAGTAAAGAAACATCAAATGTTTATCCTTCATAGGAGTGTGCTTATACTTCAAATGTTTAGGCATTTCGTAAATTCTATGGTCGTAATAATGACCTTGTTGGTAAATATAACATATCAGTCATAATTTTGGCTGACTTGTTTCATACTAGTTGTTCTACCATCGTTTTCGTGGTGAATTTGACTACGGAATGTTCCATCTACCTGATAAATACCCAGGGCTCACAGCGGGTGTGACCGGTCAACAGGGGATGCTTACTTCTACTAGGCACCTGGTCCCACCTCTGGAGTTTCCAGGGTTTTATACCCCTTTCATATTTTTGTATTGTTTATAGATATTTTGAGATCGGTTAGTTATCTTCACCTTTTACATTAGGTAAGAGAGGCACTGATTGGTATTTGATGCGTATGGATTTTGGCAGCAATTTCTGAACTTCTGAACATCACTCAAATTAATATATTCAGGAATCCAAGAATTAAACGAATCCCAATATGCTTGCCATTCTAATTTGTTTCAATTGAACGGTGGTAAAGATAAATTAGGTAGTTTGTGGTTGGAAGCAGCAAATAAACTATACTTGACAGCATTTACACAGGGAAATGCTTATGTACAGCTGGAACTGCATAGCTATGAATTGATGTATATTGAAGTTTGATTTATTTTATGAGGATTTAATTCAGCACTTTCATCATTTGACTGCTTTCTCCACTTTTTTTCGATGAATTCTTTAAAATGTTTCAGTCTAATGTCTAACTCGGTGTAATACTCATCTGTCTCAAAACTTTCATTCTCAATCTCCCCCTCCTCTGTATTTTGATTCAATATTTGTTCGTGCAGATTATCCATTAAATTTCTTTTCTTCTTCAAATATTCATAAATTGACAAAAGATCTTCTCTGAAAAATTCTTCAAATCCTTCGTATTTTTTTTTTTTTTTTTTTTTAGTTTTCTGGTAACAGCACTTCTGTTTCCTATCCTAGTGGCTTTTAGCTTACGTAGTCCCATTTCTTATTTTTTTAGTCACGGTGTGATCACAGCACCAAAAATGAAATTAGAGATAGATAAACACATCTGTACAATATAAACTTTAATATAAAATTAAATTCTCTCTGCTAATCTTTTTTTTATTTGATAAATCGCAATTTTAAGCGTCAATCCGTGTTTCAAAACATTGAAATTCACAAGAGAATTATCACAGGTGAATTCAGAGATGTAAGAGCAGTATCTTGATTTTTATATATATATATTTACATTTGCAAATGTTTTCTTTTATAAAACACTATTAAAAGCAACGCGTATCTATATCCGTATAAACACGGGTTCCTCGCGTCATAAACGTTCGACGTAATTTCTCAGTGACGTCATAAAGGGTCGACGCGCAATCAGTGGATCAAACACGTGCCGTTGGGTTTGAAAAATAAAACGTTTCACATGTTAAACATTATAATCAGGCAAAAATAAAATATGAATAAGTCACAAATGTAAATATAAGTAATAAGGTATCATTTTAAAACATCTATCGGGCTATAAATACGGGTTGGAACGAGATCAAATTTACCATAAAGCCCTTCGGGCTTTATGGAATTTGATCTCGTGACCAACCCGTATTTATATCCCGATAGATGTTTAAAAATGATACCTTATTTCTTAAATAAACTACATATTTTGTTTTTACGCTGGAGCATAATGGAGTATCGTAGTACAAAATTAATCTGTAACAGCCATTACCTCCACCTCTGAAATTTAGAAGTTTAGTTTTCCGGAATTAAGGATGACGAGGCTGAACGGCTTTTCCATATGAACATGCGTTAATAAGATTTTTTCACTTCAGGAAATATAAAGGGAAAAAACGCATATTTTTATTTGATCCACTGCAACTGCGTCTAATTATAGTTAATATAATTTTGAATTTATTTGGGATTTAAATAATATCTAGAAATGCATATATGCAGTAGAAAATCACCCAACCATGACTCTGGCGTGTTCTACGTGAGCACTAGTAGTTTGCCTTTGAGCTTCAGGTTGATAGACATGTTGCTATAATTTTGCATATTTTGAAGCATTTTTGCGATCCCATATGATTTTTTTTAAATGTTCCCTTAGAATTTGATCAGATTTTGACCCTGAAAGATGTTACACCTTACTGTAATTCTATGAGGTCCGGTTGTTGTCTTATTAATGCAAAGAGACCATCAGCATAAAATTCCGAAGCAATTTAAGCGACTAAAAGGAAAACTAATGTTAAAAGGAAGGGTTAAAGACCGCCAAAGAAACGGACGTCTTTTGGAGGCAACGGGACGTCCGGTCAGAGAACCGTTTAATCTACCGACGGAACGATTTCAAACTCCAATTAAAACTGCTACTAACGTCCCAGGTCACCACAATGCCAGAATTAGAGGGAAAACATCAAAAGGCTCGTAGAGGTAGGACTCAAAGCACGCTGGCCATCCTTTAAGAACCACATGTTCTCATGAATGAACGCACCATTTAGTCCCGTATTGTCTCCAAAAAAGCTATTATGGGATCGACAAATTTGATTTCGAAATCTGATTTCAAGCAATATCAATAAGCTGAATGCAAGCTCTTATTGCGAAGTGAAATCTCATCCCTATTCGAAGAATCACCATCTGATCAATTCCATGCTCAAAATGATACCAGCTGCTTTAAATGCGGGATTACAACATGCGTGATATTGACTTTCGACATTTTAAATTTTAAAATTCAGACCCTTTCTCCCTACATTCAATAACTGCGGTGCTTAAATGTCGTTTGATTCGATATTATGACTTTATTTATGACAATTATGAATAAAATATTACATAACATTTTAATTGCCTATCATTGGGTTGCAGAGTAATAAATGCCAATTATGTATTTAGGTATGCGTTTCTTTTTCCTTTCAGTATATATTAGGTAATGGCTTTCTATGCTCAGAATTATTATGTAAACAAGAAATTGAAACATTTAAAATAACTTAAAATACCCTTAAAGCATCAAAATTTGAAATTATTTTATGGGGGAAAAGTTTTTCGGTTTCTATATAAATTTAAATTTGCCAATTTTGTTATTCGTACCGATAACACAAAAATATATTTCAGTGCTATCTAGTTTCTGTTTATATTTTTTTTTCACATGAATAATCAATGAATATTTCCGGGTCAAACAGGAACATTTGTCATTTAAAGGAATAAATACAGATTATTCAGATCATCTGAATCAAAGTAAGAGGAAAATGCCTGGGACTCTGTACAATGACCAATTAGCTTCAAAATGCATACTTATACTGTCCTTGCTCATCATTGATTCTAAAGGTACAGCTTTTCTATTTATCTAAACCATTGAAAATATAATTTAAAAAAAACATTGTCACAGATATATTCTATTTTTCTTATTAAAACAAATCATAAGACTGGCATTTTTTAGATAAAGATTTTTGGGGTTTTTTTTGTTTGTATGTTGTTTAACGTCCCTCTCGAGAATTTTTCACTCATATGGAGACGCCACTACTTGCCGGTGGAGAGCTGCAAATTTTTGTCCTGTACTCGGCACTTACGGCCATTGAGCACTGAGGGATCTTTTTCGTGCCAGCACCTACTGCGACACGGGACCTCGGTTTATACGGTCTCATCCGAAGGACCGGTCTCCACGTCCCACAGTGGGATTCGAACCCGCGACGTAAGGATCAACTCCTTACTTCGCGAATCTAGAGCAGACGCTCTAACCACTGCGCCACGCGGGCGACAAGATTTTTGTAGATATAGATTTAATTGAAAAAGGATTATATATTAGTGCCTGCTCTATTAATCTGTGGGTATATTTATGTTATATAATGATTTGATAAAACGTAAAATTGATTAATTTCACATAATTTATTTATTCCAGGGGTGTGTTCACTTTTTGGATATAGTGTATCACAAAGTTCAGTTTCTTATCCCCAAAACGGAGCTTACAACCCCATTGATGATGACAGCAATACATGTGCTGTGTCAAAGAAAGGTGCAGGAGAGTACTGGAGAATACAATTTAACCAATCCCTAACTATTGCCGGTGTCTTTCTTCGGTTAAAAGGAGGCAAGCAATAAGAGTATCTATTTAATGTACTATAATTTCATTATATTTCATTATCTACATAATTTTAATATTTCTTTGTTTCATTTCTTTTAGGTAATTACACAATAGAAGTGCAAAATGCTTCTGATACTTCCAGTCGACAAGTTTGTGGTTATAAACACCTGCCCTTTGAATTTGCTGCTAGCAATGTTAATATCACCTGTAAACCAGACTTACACGGAGATGTTATTATCGTTAAAAAGACAAATAATGGAAGTTTGTCACTGTGTGACTTTAAACTTAAAGGTATGAATATCTTATCTACATCATTCATTTTAAAATATGAATATTGATAAAAAAAAACAAATTTTTGAAAAAAAGTAGCTGGTTTGTATAAACTAAAGGAATTGAACAAGGCAGTGCATTTTATATGCTTTAGTTTATTCATAAATTTTCATGTGATGATATCTACTATGTTTGCAGTGTGTGAGTTTAACAACCTTGACATTCTGTGTACAAAGTGTACTCCGTCCAGCAGCTGTAAATCATGTGACGGTTCACATTATGGGGTTTGGTGTGAACGTCCATGCTCGCCCGGATGTGTACCCGGAACATGTGACGAGCTGATTGGAGAGTGCTCAAGATGTAAAGATGGGTACCATGGGAACAAATGCCAAATCTCAAGTGAGTTTATGGAAGTTTAAAGTATAAAAGGAGGTTTTAAAAATTAGCATTTTACTCATTTGCTATATCATATATATATATATATATATATATATATATATATATATATATATATATATATATATATATATATATATATATATATATATATATATATATATATAATTTCAAAAACAGAATGAAGAATCGGTACAGTTTTGTTGGGTATATTAAAAAATAGCAAGGTAATTCAGAGAATTTGTGTCCCCCGCTTAGGGAAAAAGAAGAGCATGCGCAGTTCTAGGGGGGTCGGACCCCCCCCCCCCCCTGGATTTGAAGAATTATTAAATGTATACATGTATGTTGAAGCAAATAAAAATGCCATTATGGATATAAAGATTTGATTGTTTATTCTTTAATATGTGTATAAAGATTCTTTTTATATAGAATATTTATCACACTGTAATATGATTTTATGAGTTTGTACACACCAGACGTCATAACTTTTTCATTTCATATGTTGAATACCATCATTTAGTTTTTTATTTAGTAAATCAAAAAATTAAAAAAGGGATCGTCCGCGAATTGAACCTGGGAGCTCTCATTTGCCAGCAAGAATCATACCCCTAGACCAAAGAGGCACTTAATTATACATCAAATTAAATGCAAACATTAGGCCACATATAATGTTTATATTCACGTTCGATATTGTCAAAATTTTATACAATACATGGTGTCTAATTTAGCCTTTATTTAACAGATCTAATAGATGTAATCAGGATATAAAGTCCGCCGACAACCTGTATTAAATGTAATAACTCTCCATATGCCCCTGTGCTAAAAATAATGCCAAGCAACTTTTAATAAAATAAAAAGCAACGGGGCGGGACACTTTGAGAGGGGCGTGAGAGGCCATAGGGAGTTATGGTATAAAATTCATTGCAAAAACTCAAGAGCTTCTTGAGATATCGCTTGGAAACGAAAGTGTTAAAACAGAGAGAATTTATGAATTTATGACCTTGAACTTTGACCTTTTGACCTCAAAATCAATATGGGTCTTCCTTAGGCCACAGGGAGCTGATATGTAAAATTTCATTGCAAAAGCTCAAGGCTTCTCGAGATATCGAGCGGAAACGAAAGTGTTAAAACAGAGAGAATTTATGACCTTGACCTTTGACATTTTGACCTCATAATCAATAGGGTTTTTTTTAGGTCATAGGGAGTGGCTATGTAAAATTTCATTTCAAAGCTCAAAGGTTTCTCGAGATATCGCGCGGAAACGAAAGTGTTATAGACAGATAGAAATACAGACGTACAGACGAACGGACGGACGGACATACAGACTGAAATTAATATCCCCCACTTTCAGTGAAAGCGGGGGACAAAAATCAAAAAAAAAAAAATAATGATAATGATTTTTTGCTGTTAGTTTTTTTTCGCCTTTCACATAATAAACTAGTGCTAATTGTAACGGGAACCGTTACAGATGTTCCCTAAACGGCTCCCCAATCCCTTATGATGCCCCATTCCCTACAAGCTTTAATAAATTAGACAATACTTTTATAATATAGATGGACACTTTATTTTTAAGGGTATTTTCATTGGAAAACTACTCCGATATAGCCATATGGGTATTAGCCAATCAAATTTCAGCGCATGTGCTTGCACATGTTTTCTACATATTTCACATTAATTTTCTTATAGTGCCTCTCAATACATACATTTGTGTTAAATATTAAAGAATTTCATTGAAAAATAAGAGAGATGTAACCCTTTAAGTATTAGCCAATCAGAATTCAGCATACGCGCATCATGGCCTTGCATTCAATTTTGATAGTATCATAATGTAGGAGCTCTATGTGCCTATCCATGTCGTAAATTTCATCCTGTTTTGTTGAAAACCAAGGGAGTTATAGACATTCAAAGTTTCAGCCAATCAGAATGCAGCACACCTGCATGCGCGTGTTTTCAAGAAATTTCCTATATATCTTGTTGTAGCACCTTATAATATATACTTATATTTTAAATTTCAAAGTATTTTGTCAAAAAACAAGGAAATTATTGAGATTTTTGTATCAGCCAATCAGAGAGGAGCGCACGTGCATGCGCGTGAGTTCACGCTAATTTGACCATGTTATCTTGTCTAGACTATTAATATATCTTTATATTTTGAGTTTCAAAGCAATTCATTAAGAAATATAAAAGTTACGGCTTCATGAAGTATGTCAGTCATTTCACTCATTGCACGCACGCGCACGTGCATGCATGTGCGCACAAAATGACCTTCGTTCCGAACACCTGCACAACATGCCTATTAACCCTAAAAAGGTTTCATGTCAATCGGATGAGTGGTTCTATGAGAACACTCCCGGACAAAAAAGTACCGGAGAAGAAAGTAGAAAAAAAAGAAAGAAAAATAACTAGAAACTCATTGCGAGTAATGAGAGATCTTCCATCCGATTTTGAAAATAAAAACGTAAATTTAAGCTGAAAAGGTGATAAATGAAATTCAGACACTCTGAAGATTTAACCCTGGTCGTCAGCATGAAAATCCAACGTGCTAACCATTAACCATTCACTTTTTTACATCACTTACTGTCACGACCGGAAGTAACGGCGATACAAGATTTTCTCGCGATTCAAATAAACTGATGACTGACTATCAGTCCTGATTGTTTTAGACTCCAGTCCTTTACTGTTGCCGAGCAATATTGTGAGAACAAATCCTAATTTTGAGGACAGGTAAACAGGCGACCGGAAGTGAATTTTATAAAAAAAAAAAAAAAAAAAAATCTCTGACGTTTCTCTATACATTTGCAGTATCTACAAAATGCATAAAAACATTTCAAGTACTTTATCGATAAGCAATATTTATGAGAAAGTTCAAAATCGAAATTATGTAGTTTATCACCTAAAACCGGAAGTTGACGTTTTTGTTTCCGGTGGAATCTAACATATTTCAAAACAGCGAATGAAATGCAATCAAGTGATGCAAATTTTATTTTAAAGAAGAAAAGTTAAGATTTTTGATTTTTTTTATCACTTCCTGTGACGATCGGAAGTTACGACGGACGCGTTTAACCCAAATGGTTTTGCCTACTTCTCAAGGTCTGTTACTCATAAAAATTTGGTGTTTTAATCTTTTACCTGTTTTTGATATCTCGCTCAGACAATTTTTCATTTTGAGGACAGAAAAAAAAAACGCAACCGGAAGTGAATTTTTGAAAGATATTTGAGGATACTCTAGACATTTGCAGTTTGAATAACATACTTAAAATTCATTTGAAATTATTTATCTATAAAGAATATTTATAGGAAAGTAAAATACTCAAATTATTTAGTTTTTCTCTTATAACCGGAAGTTGTCGATTTTTATTTGCGGTGGGACCGACATCTTTCGAATCTGCAAAAAAGATGTAATAAAGTGATGCAAGTTTTAAATAAAAAAAGAAAAGTTGAAATTTTGGATTTCTTTGATCACTTCCTGTGACGACCGGAAGTGACGGCTGACGCTCTGAACCCTAATAGTTTTGGCTACATCTTAAGGCCTGTTGCTCATATAAGTCTGGTGTCTTAATCTCTTACCGTTTCCGAGATCTTGCTCAGACAACTTCTCATTTTGAGGACAGAAAAACACGCGACCGGAAGTGAATTTTACAAAGATATTTGAGGTTACTCTAGACATTTGCAGTCTGAATAACATATTTAAAATTCATTTGAAATACTTTATCTACAAAAGATATTAATGGGTAAGAAAAATACTCAAATTTTGTAGTTTTTCTCTTATAACCGGAAGTTGATGTTTTTGTTTCCGATGGGACCAACATATTTCAAAACTACAAAAGAGATGCAATAATGTGATGTAAGTATTGAATTAAAAAAAGAAAATTGAAATTTAACGATTTCTTTGATCACTTCCGTAAGCGACCGGAAGTGCGGACGACGAACGAAAAGGTGCCCTCTCCAATCTAGAAATCATGTTCTATCATCTCTAACAAGTCTCCAGTTCATACCTTTAGCCATTCTTGATAACACTCGCGGACAAAATTTCATTTTAAAATCAGAGAATTGTCCATAACTTGGCACTGGAACCGAATTTACCAAAAAACGGAATTTTGTATAAAATTCATATAAAGATCTTTTATCCCTGAAAATTTCAGAGAATTTCATTGAATAGTTGTCGAGAAATCGCGTGCACAAAATTTTGTCTAAAAAAAAAATAATATTAAGAAACAATAGAATCACTATAAGGTCTTCCGTGGAGACGTAAGACCTTAATAATAATAATAATAACTAGAAACTCATTGCGAGCAATGAGAGGTCTTCCGTCCGATTCTGAAAATAAAAACGAAAATTCAGTCTGAAAAAGTGATAAAAGAAATTCAGACACTCTGGAGATTTATCCCTAGTCGTCAGCGTGAAAATCCGTGCTAACACTGAACCATTCACTTTTTTACATCACTTGCTGGAAGTAACGGCGATACAAGATTTTCTCACAATTCAAATAAACTGATGACTGACTATCAGTCCTGAAAGTTTTAGTCTTCAGTCTTTTACTGTTGCCGAGCAGTATTGTGAGAACAAATTCTAATATTGTGGACAGGTAAACACGCGACCGGAAGTGAATTTAATAAAAATCTCTGACTTTTCTCTATACATTTGCAGTATCTACAACATACACATACATAAAATTATTTCAAGAACTTTATCGATAAGCAATATTTATGAGAAAATTAAATATCAAAATAATGTAGTTTAACTCCTAAAACCGGAAGTTGACGTTTTTGTTTCCGGTGAAATCTAACATATTTCAAAACAGCGAAAGAGATACAATAAAGTGATGCAAGTTTTCATTTAAAAAAGAAAAGATAATTTTTTTGATTTCTTTGATCACTTCCTGTGACAAGCGGAAGTGACGACTGACGCGTTTAACCCAAATGGTTTCGCCTACTCTTCAAGGTCTATTACTCATAAAAGTTTGGTGTTTTAATCTTTTACCTGTTTTTGATATCTCGCTCAGACAACTGATTATTTTAAGGACAGAAAAGCTCGCGACCGGAAGTGAATTTCTGAAAGATATTTAAGGTCACTCTAGACATTTGCAGTTTGAATAAGATATTTTAAATTCATTTCAAATACTTTAACTATACAGAGTATTTATGGGAAAGTAAAATATTCAAATTATGTAGTTTTTCTCTTATAACCGGAAGTTGTCGTTTTTGTTTCCGGTGGGACCAACATCTTTCGAATCTGCAAAAAAGATGTAATAAAGTGATGCAATTTTAAATTAAAAAACGAAAAGTTGAAATTTTCGATTTCTTTGATCACTTCCTGTGACGACCGGAAGAGACGACTGACGCTCTTAACCAAATGGTTTTTGCCTACATCTTAAGGTCTGTTGCTCATATAAGTCTGGTGTCTTAATCTCTTACCGTTTCCGAGATCTTGCTCAGACAACTTCTCATTTTGAGGACAGAAAAACACGCGACCGGAAGTGAATTTTTAAAAGATACTTGAGGTTACTCTAGACATTTGCTGTCTAAATAACATATTTAAAAATCATTCCAAATACTTTATCTACAAAAGATATTAATGGGGAAAAAAATACTCAAATTATGTAGTTTTTCTCTTATAACCGGAAGTTGACGTTTTCGTTTCCGGTGGGACCAACATATTTCAAAACTACAAAAGAGATGCAATATTGTGATGTAAGAATTGATTTAAAAAAAGAAAGTTGAAATTTAACGATTTCTTTGATCACTTCCGTAAGCGACCGGAAGTGCGGACGACGAACGAAAAGGTGCCCTCTCCAATCTAGAAATCATGTTCTATCGTCTCTAACAAGTCTCCAGTTCATACCTTTAGCCATTCTTGAGAACACTCACGGACAAAATTTCATTTTAAAATCAGAAAATTGTCCATAACTTGGCACTGGAACCAAATTTACCAAAAAACGGAATTTTATATAAAATTCATATAAAGTCCTTTTATCCCTGAAAATTTCAAGGGTGCAAAACACAGTTTTATGTATGACGTTATTGCGACGTTACCATGTGAGGGACAAGCAAAACTGACCCCTATAAAAAAAATAATATGAAGGCTTGTTACATAGACTTCTATATATCAATGGAAAGATAAAATGATGAATTTTATAAATATCAAAGTATAATCCATTCATCACTTACTAAAAACATGTATTTTACACACAAAAAACCAGGGAAATGGGGTAATTTATGTGTCTAATCCTAGTACACATATGCATTTTTACCTCCCTTTATCAACAAACAGCGCAGAAATCAGAAAATATAAGTTCTATGCATTTGACAGAACAAGTCCTCAGGTTTCCTTTTTATGTACTTTTAGGGTACATTTTCCAGCTTTTGAAAGAGCTACATTACCTGCTATTCATGTCATGCAATTCTGCACGTGTGAAAACCGGATGTTTTGAGAGTTACCTCCCACTATTAAAATGTCACACAAAAAATTATTCTAAAAAAATATATGCATATTTTTTTCATTTAATATTAAGATAAGACTCTACTTTATGCAAACAAAAACAAAAAAGTTGCAATTTTCAAGTACACTTCCTATAAATAGCAGGAAAATCCCTACCCATCATCCTTCTCTCTGGGAAAAACCCCCTGGATTTTATACGAAACTGTGTTTAGCTACCCAAGGAAATTCATTGAATAGTTTTCGAGAAATCGCGTGCACAAAATTTTGTCTAAAAAAAAAAAAGAATACTAATAATAATAACTAGAAACTCATTGCGAGCAATGAGAGGTCTTCCGTCCGATTTTGAAAATAAAAACGTAAATTCAAGATGAAAAGGTGATAAAAGAAATTCAGACACCCTGGAGATTTAACTCTGGTTGATAACTTTAATTTTCTTTTTAAATGTTTCAGAAAATTGTACATGTAGAAATTGTTTCTCAGCATGTATCGAGTGTCATACTTTGACTGAAGAGTGTACCCGGTGTCAGAAATCCAGATATGGTAAACTTTGTCAGTATGAGTGTCATCCTAACTGTGATACGTGTGATATCAACAATGGCACGTGTCTGAGTTGTAAAATCGGTTATTCTGGAGAAAATTGCTCAGGTAAAAATGATGCGTCAAGTGATTTAATGATTTGCCGAATTTTTCCGCTATTTTGTCCTGTATTCAGTAGAACTCGTGTTTATTAGTTATGTATTTTTATAAAAAGTAAAGGTCATCTTTCAACAGATCAGAGACCAGTGGGAATGGATGTGGAAAAAATACTCTTTTGGGTGTTGTTTCCTATTGGATTTATTATCGTATTGGCCACACCTTTCCTTCTGAAAACGTAATTTTCACCAAAAAGAATTAAATCAGTTTGATTTTGTGAATTATATTTTATATGCAAATATTTTCCTAACTACATTTTTTCCAGATTTTGTAGACGTCTTCGGTGCTCTAAAACCATTTCATTCTTCAATCACACAATGACACCAACCATGACTCTCTCTGAACAGGCAATGATTGCACGGAACACATTAAACAGTAGCCGAGTAATACTAGAACCAGAGGGGACTAGCCACTATTTAGATGATCCCTACGACGGTGTAGTACAAGTCGTAGTTACATTTAGTAATATCAAAACTAAGAGTTTATCCATAGAGCAGTTTGTCAAAGACACCCACCAAAAGATGATGGCCAATGAATTCCGATCAGAGTTCAAGGTTATTGATACAGATATATACATGTATATATACGTTTCTCAAGTGAAAGATCAAAAGACAGAGATAGAGTTCAGTATGTCCACAACAGATTTACATTCCCATTACATGTATCATCAATAATAGAATGAAAATATCCACTTAATAAATATTACAAGAAATAATCATCGTTATTATTTCAAATTTAAATGGTTGCTTTCCGTTTCTTTTATAGATTTTGCCAAATGGTCTTATGAATCTGCACACAGAAGCCTTGAAAATGGAAAATAGTACAAAAAACAGATTCAAAAAAATTTATCCTTGTACGAATAATCTTTTCTTCTCAAAACGCATTTATATCAAAATCAATGAACCTTTATTCCTTTCTTTGACTCCGTCTTGTTTCCGTTATTCAGATGATGCAAACAGAGTTATTCTGGAGCCACTTGGAAATCTATATTCTGGGAATTACATCAATGCAAGTTATATTAATGTAAGTCTATATGTAAATACATGTACTAGTACACGGCTATTTTAGTGATTTTTTTTAATCCTTGCATTATAGAAATAAATTATTGAAAAAGAGAATAAAGATATTTGTATTCACCTTTAAAGTTTAATAATGGGTTATTAACTCCCTTGGGTTCCTTTGACAATAGAGCTAATTTAGCGTGTGTTTAAATTTTTCCTTTCATTTTTCAGGGCGTTTACAGGGAAAATGCATACATAGCAGCACAAGGTAACTGTATCTGTTATATAGGTCTGTCTCGGTCAGAGCTGTGATATCTAAATTAGAATCAAACATATTAAACGGGGGTTCTTGCTTTTTCTATAATTTACAAGATTATTTTGATATTTTATCCTGGGTGCTTATTTGCTGTAGGACCCTTTACTCCACAGACCGTTGCTGATTTCTGGAGGATGGTCTGGCAAACACAGAGCAAGAGAATTGTTATGCTTACACGATTAACAGAAGGAAATGTGGTTAGAGGACCTTACTTATATTTTAATTGACATTATTCAGTAAACCTATTTAAAGTATCAAGACTTCTAAGTATTTTGACAATTATTGATATTATAGACGTTGAATTCTGCTCTGATAATTTTATTTTATGTGTTTAATGAGCTTTGAATGATGCATGTCTTCATATCATGAACTAGAAAAGTCAGTTCATGATTTTCTTTTTATTGATTTGAAATATTTCTGTATAATTTTAATCTCCAAGTTTTTCATTGATTTTCCTCGAAGGAAAAATGTATGCAATATTGGCCGGGGGACGCAGGGGAATTCGGTCCTTTCTCAATAATTGTCCAAAAGGAAGATATCCTTGACAAATTTGCAGTACGAAAATTTATCGTCAGAAGGGTAAGTCTTGAAAATAATTATGTAAAAAGAGACATTTGTTTTTTCAGTAATTCTCAAAAATACTTTATTACCAGTCTGCTAAATACCTGGTATTTGACGAGCAAATACCCCTTGTTAGTTAAGTTTGAAAGATAACTAGAAAGGTATTTCACAATTCTTATAACAGGAAAGGCAGTTTTTTTTTTTTTTTGTTCCTTTTCCAAATCAATATTCTAGTGCATTTCCTATGTAAATAAAATGTGTTTGTCAATATCCTAGACAGGCGTGTCAAACGCTTGGAGAAAAACTTCCTTCTCTTCAATTATTTTTCGAAATTAATCCTAAAATACAGGAAATAATAGCAAAGACAAGTGCTATGTCATTTAATGTCAAAACACGTCAGGATGTGTTTAAAGCTTTCACACGCGAAGACCAGGGAAGTGTGTTTGTGAATTTTGATTGAAACTAAGTGGGGACAAACTCAGATGGGTCCAATACAAGAACAAACTAGTACCACTTGTAATGAAAATAAATACATTTTTCCTCTTAGTATCAGATATACACTGATCAACCTGGTTTAAAGTGCATAAAGGCAATTTAATTTCCCGTATTTCATATTTCTTGTCAAAATACTTGAACTATTTCACTGCCCAAAATAAAATAGAGTGAATGTTGACTTTTGGAAATATTTGTCAGAGGAAATTTAAAATGATGCTTGATATTTGAATATGATTGAATTCCAAAATGGCACGCTTTTTTTCTTGAGAAATATGTCCAATAGTGAGCAAAACAGGTCATCACCCCATATTTGATATTTCAGGGTGAGGAGACCAGGAGGGTGACACAGTACCAGTTTATGGTTTGGCCAGATACCAAAGTCCCACTTAATCTTGAGGCACTACTCTGTTTTCGAAACATCTCTAAAAATTCAATAAGTCCTAATGAAGGACCCATAATTGTACATGGAAGGTAAAAAAATGCTTTATTTCATTTTTTGTGTCCATGATAATCAACATTTTAAGCGTACGTTTTTTTATCCTCTCTGAATATTTAATAAGGCCAAAAATGGAAACATACGCTCATTAAAACACTAGGAAAACAAACCACTAAAAATACATTTTTTAAAAAACAAGTTCACTCCTCCCCTGAAAATACAGTGCCATTATTAGTCTAATTTTGTTTTATCGAAGATTCTGGGGCATATATTTTTTGCTCTGTCCGTCTGTCTGTCTATCTGTCTATTTGTCTGCAAACAAGCTTTAGCTTTCATAGTTTTCATAGTTATTCCTTGTGACAAGACCTTGGTGTACCAACATATTTGACTTTTGAACAGACTCGGAGTTCGACCCACTTTTGCAAAAATTTACTTAACTTTAACCTTGGTCATAACTTTTGAACCGCTAGTGCTTTCATACTTCACATATGTATTTCTTTTGACAAGACCTTTCTCAAGGTTCCAACAATTTCGATATTTTGACCTTTACCTTGGAGTTTGATCTACTTTATAAAAACCTTGGCAATAACTTTTGAAAGGTTGGAGCTAGGGCGTTCATATTACACATGTGTATTCCATATGACAAAACCTATTGAGTACCAACAGTTTTGACTCTTTGACCTTGGTCTTGGAGTTTGACCTTCTTTTGAAAAACTTTAACCTTGGCCACAACTTTTGAACGGCTAATGCTTTCATATTTAAGAGGTGTATTTCTTTTGACTAGACCTTTCCTTGGGTACCAACAGTTTTGACTCTTTCACCTTGACCATGGAGTTTGACCTTCTTTTAAAAAACTTTAACATTGGTCATAAGTTTTGAACGGTTGGTGCTAGGGCTTTTATTTTTCAAATGAGTATTTCTTGTGAAGAGATATTCACTTGGATACCATCGGTTTTGACCTTTTTTCTTGAGCTAAGAGTTTTACATACTTTTGAAATTTTTAACCTTGGTCATAACTTTTGAATGGTTTGTGCTAGGGCTTTTATTTCTCAAATGAGTATTTCTTGTGACAAGGCCTTCCCTTGGGCACCATTAATTTTGACTCTTTGGCCTTGATCTTGGAGTTTGACTTACTTTTTAAAATTGTTATTCTTGGCCATAACTTTTAAATAATTAGTGTTAGGGCTTTCATATTTCACAGGTGTAGTTGTTGTGACAAGACCTTCCCTTGAGTACCAACAATTTTGACCTTTTTCACTTTGATCTTGGAGTATTACCTACTTTTGAAAAACTTTAACCTTGGCCACAACTTTTAAATGGCTAGTGTTGGGGCTTTCTTATATCACAGGTGTAGTTGTTTTGACAAGAAAAACAAGACCTTCCCTTGAGTACCAACAATTTTGACCTTTTGACTTTGATCTTGGAGTATTACCTACTTTTGAAAAACTTTAACCTTAGCCATCAGTGTATTTCTGGTGAAAAGACATTCACTTGGATACCAACGATTTTGACCTTGGAGTTTGACCTTCTTTTGTAGTCTTTGACTTTGGTCGTAACTTTTGAAAGATTGGTGCTAGGACTTTCATTATTCACATGTATATTTCCCTTAAGCATCATTAATTTTGACCTTGATCTTGGAGTTTGACCTACTTTTGAAAATGGTTAAACCTTGGTCATAACCTTTGATTGGTTAGTGTTAAGGCTTAAGACAACACTGTTTGTCTCTTCACCTTGATCTTGAAGTTTGAATTGCATTTGAGAAACTATAACCATGAGCTGTCATACAGGAGCATCAGTGTTTCACAAACACATCTTGTTATTTTAGTTAAACTTTCTGTAATTAATTTTTTATACATATTTATATACGTAGTGCGGGTATAGGTCGCACGGGGACATTTATCGCCCTGGATTACCTTCTAGAGAAGGGCTTTAAAGAGGGAAGTGTGGATGTCAAGAACTGTGTCATCAACCTGAGACAACAAAGAGCATTCTCAATACAGTCTGTTGTATGTCACTTCTTTCAAGTCTGCTTTTACAATTATTCGTAGTAACAAATGATTTTGGCTTTGAATGGGCACTGTTTACTTTAAGATTAAAATGATGGACAAGTAATCATTTCTATGCTATAATTGCTTGTTCGTAATGATATACTTTATATTTAATTTTTATATTTTGACTTTTATTATGTTCTTGTTTAAGGACAAGTATAAACGACTAGAAATTATTTATTATAATGCTAATATTGCTTGATGATAATGATAGAACCAATGTTTTGGTTAAAATTATAACCTGACCATACTCTGTTTCTCTTTTAGGACCAGTATATTTTCCTTCATGACGCTCTGGTGGAAGGATTGACAAATCTCACATTAAATTGCGCGCTTCATGTGGTAGATGAAATGTGACTTATTATAAATACTTTGAAATTTCCAGATACTCTACCTTTTTAAGAAGCCGGACATTTGATATCCCGTGATCTTAACTTTGTATAAACAGTGTGAGAATTTTCTTAATTATGTTACATCCAAAATGTTTCATCGCCTTTTGTCTGAGATTATGTACATAATAAGTGTGTAGATAATAAATGTATATATATATATATATATATATATATATATATATATATATATATATATATATATATATATATATATATATATATATATATATATTAGGGATGTCAAAATATTTATTTTCTTTAGTCGAATATTCGATTGCATTATTCGAACGATAGTCGAATATATTCGAAACTTTTTTTCGGAAACTAAAATTTTATTTCAAACTTCACTGGTACATGACATTTTAACCCCATCACTGGTACATGACATTTTAACCCCAAATCTCCTTTTCTTAAATTTATTGAAAAGTAACATCAAATGTTATACACAGATGTTCAAATGGACTTAAAATGTGTATAGCGTGTTTATATTTACTAAATATAGACTGCTAAATTCTCCAAAATGTATGATTTCCCCGTCAATCATGTTCATAAATCGGTCTGTAAAGTCGGTTTTTTAGGAAGCATAAAAAATGACAGTACGATATATATATTTTTTCAAAGCTTATTAACATGATTGGGGGGGGGGGGGGCACACGGTGTCTGTGATAATGCTAAATCTTTGTATAAACTTTTTGTAAAAGAATATTAATTTTATAATTATCGTATTATAGTGTCCAAACATGTCACGGCTATAATGAGTACCTGATATGAAATCAAGTCCAATTAATAATTTTACAAAGAAAGCGCAGTATAGCGAGATAATTTTATTACAAAAACAACACATTAATTGACAAATAATTCTCGCGGAAATGAAACATTTCTAATTACTGTACTTTCTACATGTAAAGTCAGCAGATTTTAATGAGGAAAATTATCTTATCGACTGTGTTTGAGGAAAGACGATTTCTCAATTTAATGATGAGAATTCCATCTCTTTATCACTCTTTTATAGAATTTATTTATTCGAATGTCGTTTTATTATTCGATCGTCAGTCCATTCGACTGAGAGTCGAATAGTCGACTATCCGTTGACATCCCTAATATATATATATATAAACTTACTTCATTTACTATTCTTGAAATAGCATACTGTGGAATCATCATTGTTCGTGGAGGAACAATGTTCGTCACCTTTACCCACGAATTTACATCCCCATGAATTTTTTTGTAAAAATTTTGATTCATTGAATCTACCATTAAAACGAGTAACACTCGAATACCCACGAACAAGTTAAATTTTTCTTGCCCATTGACCCCCATGAATTAAATTCCACAATATATTACGACGGACAAGCATCTTTGTTTTATAGATAAGGGACTGTTGCTCTTGTTTTCCCTCAAATTTGAAGAGTTTTTAGTTGATGGAAAGGACAATGTGGTGATGCATGCTTTATCAATTTTTTTTGGTAATGAAACTAAGCCGTATTGTAAAACAGGTCTAAAATGAATATGATTCTCTGAACCATTGTGACGAAAAATTAATTCTAATTGTATCAAAAAGTAATTGATGTTGTCATCTTTATCTAAGAGCAAAAAAACAAAAAACAAAACAAAACAATACCGGATGTGAAACAATACCGGATACGTGTGAAGAAAAGTAGAGGAATGTTAACTGTAGCATCCCCTCACAATTTATATTCATTGTATTAAAAATATATGAAGTGTGCAGAACGTGTTCAGCCTTTTCACTCGATTTGACCTTGAAATTTACATTCATACCTCCTGCATCTCTCCATTCATGACAATGAGGGCTCACTTAGAAATAATTAGCTTATGTCCAAATATTTAAAAAAAAAAAAAAAAAAGAAAAGAAAAAAAACCTTTGACCCTGGGCCATGCGCACTATCTGCGACCTTTAATGGCCACCATTTTTCTTTTCAAAAATATTAAGTTCAAACAATAAAAACCAAACTATTCTGACTTGGATTTTCATAACAAATATTTTGGTATACAATAAGTAAATCTAGAACCATTCATTTTGACAAAAACGTCGTTGTCCACGAGCTTTATGGACAGCCCTCGTAAACAATGTTGTTATAAGAGATAAACAGTTCCAGAGACATAGCATTCTGTCTCTTTGTAATAAAAGATGTAGTCTGAGAAGTGTCACTCTCAAATTAAACAATTAACTGTTAAACATATTGTGGGAATTAAATGTGACATAAAAGATAATAGTAAGAGTATAGTCCAAAATTAAGTTCTTTCTTATTTTATACTGTGATAATATAGACCAATATAGTTGTATATGAAAGGTAGATATAAAATGGTTCATTTTGCTGTCTCGAGTATCCATGATAAACTTTTCCACACAGCAAATAAAGCTCAAATATTTTTTTAATTTGTCAAAGTATTTAATAATACAGAAATACAACATATACGCCTATGAAAACAGTAAGAAAGAAACACACTAGCAAAGTACTTTTTTTTTAAATGACTCCGATCTTACCCTGAAAATACACAAGCATTACTTAACTATATTTTTTTAGTTTTATTTTACTAACACTTTCTGTAATGAATTTCTTTATACATACTTGTACGAAGTGCGGTATAGGTCGCACGGTTACATTTATCGCCCTGGATTATCTTCTAGAGAAGGGATTTAAAGAGGCAAGTGTCGATGTCAAGAACTGTGTCATCAACCTGAGACAACAAAGAGCATTCTCCATCCAGTCTGCTGTATGTTCAGATTTCTTTCATGTCTGCTTTTAAAATTATTCGTAGTAACAAACGATTTTGCCTTTGAAAAAGCATGATTTTACTTAAAGATTAAAATGATCGTCTACTGCGTAGTAATAATTTTTATCATGCGCTTTGCGCTTGTTCATAATGATACAATCCAAGTTTAATTTTACCATGTGACTATACTGTGTTTTTGTATTAGGACAAGTATAATCGACTGAAAATTATTTATTATGCTATTAGTGCTTGCTGATAAAGATGCAACCAATGTTTTAATTTAAAATCATAACCTAACTATACCCAGTTCCTCTTTTAGGACCAGTATATTTCCTTCACGAGGCTGTGGTGGAAGGATTGACAAATCTCATATTTAATTGTGTACTTCACATATGGTGGATGAAATGTGACTTAAATACTTTGGAATCTCCAGATAATCTACCATTTTAAGAAGTTGGACATTTGATAAAAATTGAATTAAAGTTCAATTTAACTGAAATTGAATTATGATTCAATGTGTTCTCCATGTGGTGGATGAAATGAGACTTAATTACTTTGAAATCTCCAGCAACTGAACCTCCTTTTTAAATATTTAATAACTATTGAATTAATGTGTGCTATTTATTTTGTGGCTGATATGATTAAATGGGTAGAAATATGTAGTAGCTTTTGTGATTCAACGTCCATTCCGATAATAATTGAATCAAATTGTAAATTTACTATGACTTAAACACATAGGATACAAAAAAATATGGATAGAAAGTTTGAAAACAGTTTGTATTGGCTTTATTTTTGCTAAAACGCAAGCTATTGACAAAGAAGTTGATGATAAAAGGAAATCAACAGTCTTGTTTAAAGTCAATATTTCGCAAATTCTATGGTCGATACAATGACCTTATAAGCGTGTACAATGTATCATTAAGCCGAATGTTGACTGATGTTTTTCATACAAATTGTTAGGCTGAATTGCCTATGCATTTTTTCGTTTACCCGATCATGATAAGGAGCACACGGCTTGTGTGACCGGTGAACAGAAGATACTTACTCCTGCATGACTTCTGATACCATCTCTGTCATTTATAGGGATCCGTGTCTGTTCCCAAAGTTTTTATATTCCAATGGATTTTTGAGCTTCATTACTATTCGTTATCTTCATATTTCATTTATCACAAAGTTTTCCTATCAGACCAACTTTTTTCATTGAGACTAACAAAATCTTTTATATGAGGGCATTGGTATCGAAATTCTTTGCAAAAACATTTTAAAAATGGAATCTCCAAAAATTAATACTGTAACCTTATTTGACCCTGTAACAAATTCATTTTTAAAAAACAAGAAGCTTTGAATAAAAATAAACATTTTTTCGAATAAGGGGTATCCTAGTTGTGACCTTAACATTGTATAAAATGGGTGGGTATTTTCTTAGATGTCTTACATCCAAAATTATACTGGAATTTTTCATCACCTTTTTGTACATATTCAGTGATCAGATAATAAATGTCTAAAAGAACTTACTTCATTAATTGTAAACATGATAGAAAAGCATGTTTCTTATATAGATACAGGACTGTTGTGTTTGTTTTCTCTAAAATTTGAGAGGTATTTTAGTTAATGAAAAGAACAATTTGGTCATGCATGCTTTATCAAATTTTAAAACATTTTTTTTATAAAACTAAGCCGTATTGTAGAACAGCTGTTAAATGACTACGGAAACATTATGACGAAAAATTAATCCTAAATTGTATCAAAAGTTAATGAATTTTGCTATCTTTACATAAGAGCAAAAAGCAATAATTTACACGAATTATGTGTAAAGCCAACTAGAGGATGGTTAATTGTAGCATCATCTTACAATTCATATCCATTGTACATGTGTATTAAAAAAAAAACTTATGTAGTGTGTAAAACGTTATCAGCACTTTTCACTCGATTTAACCTTGAAACTTATATTACGATTTGACCCTAACTTTTAATCATTAAATCATTGTCTTCTGTAGTCACCTGATATCTCTTCGGCAATGATAAGACTGAGACATATAATGATATGTTAACTCGGTCTACAATATTTTATCACCTATTATTTTGAAATATTCCATCCTTAATTCTGAATTTCATAGTCTTTTCCTCTTCATGCCTGATCAAAAAAATTTTATGCCACACATCAAGTTTTGTTTTCAATGGTTTCTTCCTATGGATGTCCAGCAGTTGCTTAGCAAGCTAACGTAAAAAT